TATGTATACGCTGGTGAGATGGAGTGACGACCTGGTAAGACATGCAGGAAATCGTTGGATGCAGGTGTCCCAGGATCGTGCTTTGTGGCTTTACTTGGGGGAGGCCTATGTTCAGCAGTGGACTTGTGAAGGGCTGTAATGATGATGGTGTGTACGCGATTGTATATTCTAACATTAAATTGAGCATGACTTAAGGTCTTTCTGTCTATGTTGGTCCAAGCATTTAAAAATATCTCATATGCCAAAAGTACAATTATCTATTTATTCCAATAAAATGAGCTGTTTAAATTTTGAAGTCCCGCTAGGCATGTTGATCGGTAATCGCAGTGCCAGACGTCTGATCGCCTATAGGTGGATTTTTTCATATTATTCTACGACTGCAGTTATTAAGTAGGTTTTACTGCCATTAATTAGAAGTCATAAAAATCTGGTATTTCCCTCGCCTCGTACGATACCCATTAGAAGTAGTGGAGAAATGGATTCTCATACGCCGCCAGCACACGTCGCTATTATTTTTAACGTAATCATCGTTTATTTGTTCCTTGTAGCAAAAATATTATGTGATGTCAAGATAATGGATAAGCGTATTTTAAATAGAACAACTAAATTTTCCGCGATCCGAATACAACCCTCAATAACTCGACGGCTTTTGTTGCCTGTAACATCATCTTCTAAGGCCTCGCGGAAGCTTTTACAATGTAATTGTAGGAACATGTTTCGGGTTTGCCTTTGATCTGTGAATTATGTTATCTATATGAAGGAAGAATAATGTTCTTTTGTCAATTCAATGTTTTTACTTTTTCTTCAAGATACAAAAGAATTTTAGCTTATTAAAAGAGAGCGTACGTACGAGACTTGTGTTACGAAGCTAGGATTAATTGTTTTCCTGCTGATACTTGAAAGTTTCTTAGGTCAATGGTGAGATGGAGATTTCCCAGGATTGCACTTGCCTTACGGTGGTGTTAATCCCCACTTTGCTTTTGATTCTGAAATGAAGGATCTCAAACTATAGCCTATATAGCTTTTATACAATGTCTTTAAAGTCCTTATTTTCAGTTATCTCCAATGCACCATGATGATATTCAAAGAATTGATTTAGCTACTAAATCAAGGTAGCGGGTAGTGACAAAATGAGTAGATTGTAGAGTACTCAATAGTTAACACACTGGTATGTACTACCTGCCTTTACTCTTATTATTAACTTCTCTCTAGACTCAGTTCAATACCTAACTTTCAGGAAAAAGGTTTTCATACGTCCTCCTCCCAAAATTTTCGATCCCATGTTACATAGTTATCTTCATTCTATATATATATATATATATATATATATATATATATATATATATATATATATATATATAAAGTACACGTTGTCATATATTGCATATCAGTGCCATAATTAATGGCACTGACAGGACAACGGAAAAAAACGCGTGGCAAGGGACGCCTTTTTCTTATTGCTCCGATTGCGTCAAGCAGGCTTATCTTCGAGCGGAATTTCACCCCCTCCCCTACTATACGCGGGGCAGCCTGAGCACTCACTCTCAAGAGCAGGGTAGCCTGGGCGTGGATGCTCAGCGAGGGATTCTACGTCATCAAGGGTACTGTAACGCTCCCAGCGTAGTGTTGTTTATAACTCCTCTACCATGTTAAGGGGGGGCGGGGTTGGGCATGCGACCCATACGTGCAACAGCAAAAGTTCCCGCATGGCCCTACCACTGATAAAACACTGCCTAACGAGGCATACCATCTTAGTCCAACGAGGCAAGTTAACTTGGTATTGGAACGACCAATGCCAAGTTATAATAATGTTGCTCGTTATATCATTAAAGATCATTGTTTAAGCTCTTTAAACTTATACATAATGAGGAAATTGTTTTCTTGGAAATAAGCAAAGCGAGTGTTCGTGCTGTTTCATAAAGTTTGATTTTGCGTGTATTGTGATGACAGTAGATTCTATCGTTTTTGATCAAGATTCAAGTTTTATTGCTGAACACAACCCTATGATATTAACTGGGAAACCGCCAATCTATAACAATGCATATTAATGTATTTTTATCGTTCAAAATATTTTTTCTACGATAATTTTTGACGGCTTTATATAGAAATTAATTACTAATTATTTATAATAAAAACGGGCCGTCGCAATATAAAATAAACATAGCAACTCCAAATACCTTGACATTTCAAATATATTGTATTTGCAGTATTTACTTAAGAGCCATGATAAATTATAACAATTTAGAATGAAAGTGACATAAATGCTTATGTCCTCTAGACAGATTTCCAGTCATGTCATGAGTCATGACCGGTCTCAAATAAATCAATGATCTTTTAATTCGTAGTGACTACAAAAAGTACATTTTTTATACAATTCAACCCACCAGTCTTTGAAATATGAAATCTCATCAGTTTGAAAGAACAGTAAAATTCCGTATCGCAGTGGATAATTTAATAATTACCATTATTTCTTTTCTAGAATATAATCGCTCTACTAGACGCAGTTTTCTTTTTGTGGTACTGAAATGTCTATCACATGGTAGAAATAAATGGCCCCTTATGGGATGGAATTGATAATATTGGGATGCATTCAGAAACACCTCATTTTACAATACATGTGGTGTTTTTCAAATCATCATTCATTCCATAGAATACTATAATACTATATATACTATAATATATATACTATAATATCCGTATAATACACACATAATAAATAGAACGGAGGAGTGGACGGAGCCAGCGTAGCTACTAAAATATCACTAACACGTCTATTCACGCGTATAAATATCAACACGAGATTTGTTTTGACGCTACAATCAAATTTCGCATGCAAATTATTTAAAAAAAAAAATGCCAAATGCAGCCTATTTACAAATAAATGTGTATTAAAATTACTCAAAACTCAAACTCTAAAAACATTAATCAAAAGTCTAAAATGTGTAAATTTACTCAGTCTGTCAACACAGCGAACACCTCGTACAAAATAAAGTTGACAGCCATTCTATTGTGTATTATAGTATTCTATGATTCATTCGCGCCTACAATTTTTACTATGGAGAATGACGGCACATGTGGGTTTTTTATTTGAATCGATAGGTGGACATTCATAGAGTTTGAAACGATTAGTAACCTCAAATCAGGAAAAAAATGTAACATGTGGGGTTTCAAAAATCATCGATTCCAATGGAAACTGGCTCCCTTCGTAGTACAGAATTATAGTATACGAGTTTGTGTGCCAAAATAGGTGCAACCTCATACCTTATCTGAAGATCTTATAACTGATTATTTGGTCCCCCCGTGATTCGTAGCCGGGAGCTCACGAAAGGCAGTCGCGTTTACGATCTAGGCCAACAGTGCAGTCACCACAAAAGCAGTAATCAACCGTGACGCTATTCTTTAATTCGAACAATGTAAACATTCCAAATAGCCTAAAAATGATATGAAAGTTTACATCGAGGTTGAGGTCGAGGAAAAGGTTTCTTCATATTTTGTTTGTATAAAATTGAAGAAAAATGGCCTGCCTGGGCATTAAGAAAAAGTAAAAGTAAAAATCACTTTCCCGCCATTTTTCAATTGTTTTTCTGTCCGCCAAAATGAGTGAATATAACGAAAAAATTCGATACATTCTGTAGTTTTATTACATAAAAGGGAAAGCCGCTAAAGAACTTTGTGACGTTTACGGACCTAATGCAATATCAGTAATAGTAGCACAAAGTTAGTTCAAGCGTTTTCAGTCTGAGAATTTTGATATCAAAGATGCAAATCGCTCTGGTATTAAATGGACCATCCCATATACGGATAAAGTCGATACCATTTTTGAGAAATTGGAGCAAGTTCGGCATATTAGTAGTTACAATATGGCCGGTTCATTTTTCGCTTGGCAGAAATTCACTTAGCTAGCCCAGCTGGACTGCGTAGTTAAAACCGTTGTACGCACTGTAGAATTGACATAGAATATACTGACTGTTCTTTCTGTATCACGTACATTCCATAATTGTTACATGAATAGAGTACATTCTATACTTTTTTTTATACTTTTCTACTACTTATTACAAAATAAAACTTCATACATGTATTTGGTGAAGATACTAATATTTTGGTTATCGGCCAACTTTCATTGTTCACGAGTGTATATTTTGTTACTCCTGTTGCTTGAATGAATCTTATTGTAATATTTATGTAGTAGTATACTGTTACTACTTTCTACTAACACTTGCTATAAACACTACCAATAACAATTTTTACAACTAATAAAACATTGATCAGTTTAAGAAAGTTTTTTAGAATAGCTTATAAGGGAGACGGATTCTTTTCATTTGCAAAATAATAAAAAATTGTAAATATTATCGTTTTTGAAAAACTCAAACTTCTTTTCAGAAAATATATTTCTTTTTGGTTTATAACGTACAGTAATTTATTATTTCTAGTTATAGTATAACTTCCTGCCTCGAAGAATAATTATATCAAAATTCATAATCTCTTTTGTCTATACCTATCTGGCCTACCTAGTATTATAATTTTGGATAAAGCAAATACTATTAATTTCATGTTGCTAACCGTTAAAATAGTGTAAAAATATTTCGGATACATATTTTATGTACTACTGTCGGCGTAATCGGGGAAGTGCCACTCACTTAAAGAATTGTCGTCATCATCAGTATATTACATCAGCACATTACAGCCCATCATAAACCAGTGTGAAATAGCATAATCTGTTGTGTTTTGCATCGTATGTTCCGTATATTGCGTGGTTGCGAGAATTTTTTTCGTCATTATGGTTTTCATTTTAATTATTAATCGAGAATAGGTCAGTGTTTGTGGGCTACCATTAAGTAGACTATATGAACTGATCTTGTCACATAAAGACCAAGCATACATTAATTAATTACATTCAAAAATTATGTAAAGTTTTCTACATCGTTGATTATCATTATTTTGGTGCATTCCCATTCTTATTAAGCACCATTTATTTGTTTGCAGAATTAAGAGCTAATACAATGCCCAATAAGCAATCTTGTTGTTGCTGGAGAAACCTTCGTCTCGGTTGCTACGCAGCGGCGTTCTTTGCGATGGTAAGTATTAGCTTTTTTGTCGAAAAATTGAAGCGGTTATATCGTCAATTGTCATAATTTGACCACAGCTAATCACGATGATGTACTAGTTGTGAAAATGGCGACTTAGGGATATTCTTCCAAATCGCCTCGCATGGTAACTGTTAGATGGCAGTGTAACTATCTAGTATTTCTCTTGTTCTTCTTTTGTATGCTTCTTGCCCAAACGTTGAAACAAAATCCCGTCGCTGGTCTGGGTTTTTAGATTTGGCATAAACAAGATGGTTATAGTGCCATGTTCACGCACGTTTGTTTAGGCATGATTTTAACAATTTGCAACCTGCGACGGCGCGCGTTTTCGAGCGGGAAACCGGTCTGACGGCGGGGCCGGGGGGTTGCAGATAGGTGCGGCTGACTGCCGCGCCGGCGACTCTCGTGCCTGCTTGGTGAGATAGCCGTGGTGCTAAGAGTTCGCGTGTTGGTTTTTGATACGGTTAAACGCCCGCGTTCCCGGGTCGAGTTTGAGGCTTATTTCTTTAGTTTGTTTGCACGAAGCCCAGGTTGAATAAACGTTGAGTGATTTAAGGAATTTATGCTGTTGCATCGACGCGTTAGTAGTTTGTGCTACGTTGGCCTGGGACTTTGAACTTTGACCAGCCATCCTTGAGTTGAGACGCGTGTCTCTGTTTAACGTCGATTTAACGTTGTTTTGGTTTAACTTCAAGTTGATTAAATGTACAATAAACTATAATAAACTAGTATAGTGGAAGTAGAAGCGGAAGTGTTCTATTGTTGAACCCCCCTTGGATGGATCTCACAATTGGAGAGAGGCCAGCCTTAGGATCTGCTGTCCAGCACCAGCGGGGATGTCAGGTTACACATTGAATACTTTACTGAACACAACTCATATTCACCTCACTTTCACCTGACTATTCCCGTGGTTAACCCCACTTCTGGAAATAGGTAAGTCTTATGTTTGTGTACCAACCTGTCTAATTTATTTATTCATAGGCAATTTTGGGCTCGACCTTCCGTTACTCGTCGAGTTGGACTCCTGATGGGCCCGAGTTCAACGACCTTGTCAGGGTAACCTTAGGCCGTAGCAGAGCGTGGTTAGTGGTTAGGTAGAAACAATCACGCCCGGCCATAATATATTTTTTGTTGTTTTGCTAACGGATCGGTGGATAGAACCACGCTCTGGTAGCAGATCGTGGTTTCTTGATTGTTTTTCCAATCACTCCCGGCCGTAATACGTAATAATAATTTTTTCTTTTGTTCGCGTGCTGTTTGTTAGCGGATCGGTGTAGAACCACGTAATAAAAATATTTTTTCTTTTCTTTCTTTCTTTTCTTTGTTCGCTTACTTTGTTAGTGGTAGGTAGAATTTAGAGCCACGCCCGTAAGCGGCGTAAGCGGAGTGTAGTTAGGTTAGGTACCGTCACGCGTCGTATAAGGTTGATAATTACCATTGTCACATAAGCTTAGAATTTTCGTTATTGTATTCGTGTGTATTCAGTATTGCATTTGGATTATTGGTTAAATTGCCAAAGTGTCGGTCTCTTTAGCGTTGCGTCTTGTTGACCGACTGTAGTTAGTACTTGCGGAGGAGTAATTGTGTTGATTTAATTAATCTTAATTGTATTAATTAAATTAATTGTGTAGTGTAACTTGTATTTGATTTGATAAATTGTAAGTTGTATTGAATTTAATTTGGTAATACTCGTATCTAGTAATGATGCCATCGCACAGGTCACCGACGCTTCGCTTGCAGACGGAACTGCGCTTGGCTGCGAATGCTCACAACTTGATAGGGAGACCAGATCATGGACTCGATCTGGTCTCCCTATCAAGTTTAGAGAAGCGGCTTGAGCAGGTCATGGCCCAAAGGGCCGTTGTGGAGGAGGCTTGCTTCGAGCTTATGGCCTCAGGAGTGGAACAGGGAGTCCAAGACTCCTGCCTCACGGACTATGAGCAATTTTTTTCGCTCACGGACGACTTGATCGAGGCGGGGGCCAAGTATGCTAGTGACGCGCGTGAAGCTCGGCTGAGTGGCCTGCTCGAGTCCCCTCGGAAGCAGCCTACTCAGCCGGAGCTGTTGGGACAACTTCCAACTCTGGACCTGCCAAAGTTCTCCGGGGTCCTCTCCGAATGGCTAATCTTTGTGGGACTTTTTGATAGCCTCGTGGACGCCCGGGGGGACTTAACACCGAGCCAGAAGATGGCTTACCTCCTGGTCTCACTCTAGGGGGAGGCCCTGGGCGTCGTCAGCCATCTGAAATTGTCGGACGTCGCCTACCAGACCGCTCGGGACCTCCTTGCCGGAAGGTACGCCAATGTACCGCGAATCGCGGACGAGCACCTCAAGCAGCTGTTGAACCTCCCGCTGCTAAAGGACCGGGCCAGACTACGGTTGGACCAGTCTTGGTGGCCTGCAATTCTTTGAGGCGGCTGGATTTACCAGTGGACGAATGGTCCTTTTTGTTGCTCCACATTGTGCTGTCCCGCCTGCCTCTCGATCTTCGGCTCCATTTCGAGGAGAGGTACGGCGGGGACGGCGCCTCCTATATTCCGCCCTTCAGGGTTCTGCTGCGGTTCTTGGTGGAGCAGTGCAGGCAGATTGAGAACGCAGCGGGCAACATCAACAACCTACGGACTGCCAAGCGAACCGTGCCCAGGTAGAGGCGGAACCCCCGGGCAAGTCGTCGTCATCCCCCCTCAGAACGAGCGGAGCTCCCGCGGGAGGACGCCGCCCTCTACCCTTTTATAGTGGCCTAGTGGCCAGGGAGGCGCCCCCCTGCTCCTACTGTTGAGCAACAGATCACCGGGTGACGATTTGCCCGAAATTCTTAGGTAAGCCGGTCCCAGCGAGACGAACCATCTCCAAGGAGCACCGCGGGTGCTACTATTGTATATATGTTTGGAAAGGCACCTCCAACGAGACTGCCCGCACCAGCGGCTCTGTCCGCACTGCCATAGAAATCACCACGCCGTTTAGTGCATGAGTGCGAACGGCGCTTCCTATCGGGACTCTGCCGGGCCCTCATCCCCCACGGGCGGGGGCGCTCAGCCACGCCCTCTGTCGGGCGACGCTCGTCGCTCTTCAGCCGGCAACCTTGTCCCTGGTTTTGGAGGGAGTCCCTCCCACGACCAGTCGGGGGGTCGTTACCCCGGGGGCGGGAGGTTCATCACCCCCTCTCAGCGGGTTGAGGGGAATTTTACGGCCACTCAGCGGTCAGCGAGACCCTTCTCACCCCCGTAGGCTGAGAGGCCGCGACTGGAATACCCCACCCCCCTTTGGTCGGTACTGGTACTACGGGTTCCTGCGACCTCGAATCTGTCCCGGGCCTGAAGGCCGAGGTTCCCCCGAAGCTCTCCAGGTCGGCCCGTTCGTTAATTTCCATCCACGAGTCAGTGAGATGCCGCCGGAATGCCGCTTTCCGGACCCCCGGCTTGAGTGCCGGTTCGATGGAGGCAGCTCCAGCTAGGAAGCTGCCGCCCTAGCTCCCACCACGGCCGCCTTCACTGATCCTTTGAGCCGTCCACAGTCCACTTGTCAAACTGTTCTATTGCCGATGGCCTCAGTGAAGGTGTACAACCCGAGTGGCGAATGTTTAACCGTTCGCGCTCTATTGGATGTTGGTTCACAACCCTGTGTGGCCTCCACTCGGTTGGTGGGAAGACTGGGGCTCCCCTGGAGCTCTGAATCACGTCCAATGGTAGGTATCGGAGGTGCCGAGCCCCCTGCTCCTAGGGGACAAGCGAAGCTCTTGTTTGGTCCTGCAAGCGAACACCTTCATATCGTAGTTAAGGTAAATGTCCTCGATGACATTGTAGGTTTTCTCCCTAACGTCCGTATAAATGACAACGCGGTTCGTTGTGCGTCAGGCTTGAGACCGGCAGACCCTCAATGGTCCCAACCTGGGCCTATAGATTTGTTGCTGGGGGCCGATGTGCTGGGGTTCATCCTGTTAGGCGAGATGCGAGCTTTACTGCTTGTCAGCCGTGTCCACTGTATTTGGGCACAGTTTCTTTGGACCAGTTCTGTGGTCTCCACCACCTCAGACGGCTACCCCCTCTCTGTGGTGGGGGTGTCCCTTTCGTACGTCGTCCAGCGGTTCTGGTAAATTGAGGAGCCACCACACGCGCCTCGAGTCAACCTTCTGGACCGTGAGTGCGATTTGTTCTACCAGAACAATACCGGTCGCCGTGTAGACGGTCGTTTTGTCACCCGCTTACCCTTTCTTGACTCACGGCCCCCTTTGGGCCAATCTCGTACTCTGGCCGAAAAGAGGTTGCTTTCTATGGAGCGCCGTACGCAGCGCGATCCAGCATTTCACGACAAGTATGTCGAGTTCATGCGCGAGTGTCAAGAGCTGGGTCACATGTCACCGTCCCACTTCGACTGGCGTTCACAGGAGAACTACTTCCTCACCCACCATGCGGTCTTGAGGTCCCTGGGAGTAAGATTCGGGTAGTTTTTGACGGCTCCGCCCCCTCGTCAAATGGTGTGTCCCTGAACCAGTGTCTCCACTCTGGTCCTAAATTGATCAAGGACATATTCGACAGTTTGACCCAATTCCGTCAGCACCAAATTGTTTTTGTAGCCAACATTCGGATAATGTTTCGACAATCAGTGATCCATCGTGATGACCTTCGATATCAGCTGATATTGTGGCGCAAGAAGCGCAGCGATCTGATACAAGTGTTTGAGTTGAACACCACCACCTACGGACTCTGGTCCAGCCCATATATCGCCATGTGAACCCTCTTCGAACTCGCTGAGAGAGACCGTCTAACGTCTAATACACTCGGGGGGCTTCTATTTTGGAGACTTCGGTCTACATGGACGATATTTGCACGGGCGCCTTCACCGTCGAGGAGGCTCTTGTATTGCGAGACGAATTGATTGCCATCCTGAAGTCAGGAGGTTATGAGTTGCGCAAATGGTTGTCGAACTCCCCTCATATTTTGAAGGACCTCCCAGGAGAGGATCAACAAGACCCTCATTGTTGACTGTGCTGG